AAAGAAGGTTGAGTTATGAAAAATCAAAAATCGTCATATTTTTACTTATGTCATATTTCTGCTCTTGTAAAGAATATTAATTTTAATTTAAATGAAGTTAACAGACATTGTTTTCTAATGAACTATTTAAGAATTTATTTTCTGTACGCTTTCACATTAGATTGCATTTAACAGCTTAATCACGCGAATTGTGAAATATTGTTTCCGCAAATAAATCGTAAATCGTAATCATTGGAAAATAAGGATCTCCAAATTTTCTGTAGATTTTGCATCAGTAAAGGAAATTACAAGTACTTAAAACAAGAATTTTATATACTATCTCTAAAACCTAAAAGTTACATACAAACATTTGAAATCGTTTGCTTCATTAGTAAATGTCCTCGTGGGCTCCTAAAATATCAAATCTGGGCTCAAATTCTCATAAAACATCTTTTAACATCGGTCTGATAGCGTTTCCGTACTATGAGCATTCTTACGTAGGTGAATTTTGAACATTCTGAATATTTTTATGTAGTTGAAGGATGCATCAAAACCCAGATCTGGACAATTTTAGGTAAATTCGCTTTTTATTTGGAATCACAATACGAAAACAATTTTTTCTTTTACGACTTACCATTTTCTAATCTTTACTCTTTGAATAGTTTTAGGTATGCTTAAAACAGCGTTGCGAAAAGTATCGAAAAACGTTTTTCATCAAACAGCATTGGGTAATTAAATATGTTTCATTATATCACGAAGTTTTTTTTTTTTCATACTGAGCAGTTTTTATAGTGTGAGCGGTTTTTGTTAATACTGTATTATTATTCCAAGATATGAAAAAATATCAGATTAAAAAGTACTCCAAAGTAAATTTTAACAAATTTTAAGTTTAAGGAAAAGCACAGTTTTTGCTTGGCGTAGGGTTTGAATAAAACCTTCGAGTTTCGAGGGTGATCAGACACAGGCACTTCTTCTTCGGGGGCAAAAATAGTTTTACTTAATTGTTTTGCCCTGGCGAAGACATACATGTATCTAGTCTCAGCCGATATCGAATCTAGATCCTTGAATCACTATCTCTCAAAATGGTGTTTTATTGGAAATTTAGACCAAACTAAGGTTGTTTTCATTTCAACCGAAAAAAGGAAAACGTTGTTTTAAAGAGATCTTATTTGATTATTTGTCTATGCAATTCTAAAGGGGTTTAATTTTGTTCAAGTATAATCTCATTAGAAATTGCCTTTCTAGATGTTGTTTTCTCTCAAAATATTGTTTTGAAGTCAATTTTTCGAAATATACCCTTTTAAAATCTTTTTGGTGACAGAAAAATCATATTTTGGATCTTTACCGGCAGTTCTGTGTAATAATAATTGCTGCATGCATAAAGTTAATAATCGTTTTTCTAAAATTATTACTTTTTCTTTACTGCATGAGAAAATAGTTTTTCTTTCAAAACGAAGACCTTGAACGTTTGCAATTCTTCTGTCCCATACATTTATATCATAGCAAAAAACAGCTGGTAAAAGCAAAATATCCGTATACGTTTTGTGTTTTTAATAGATTGTATTTTGTTTAATTATACTTTAGTTTTAGTTTAATTTAATTGTAGTTTATTTTTTAGTTTAATTTTACGATTAATTTCAATTTATTATATATTATGCTACATATTATGCTTTAAATTTCTATGTTTAATTTTAAAATGCTTAAATTTTGTAAGATGAAACTGTTTATCCTGTACCGAAAAAAACATCACCTATAATATATCATTTATATTATCAGCTCTTTTCTGGCCATATCGAAAATATTTTCGATGCAATAAACTCCTTATGGAAAGACGAAGACAAATCCTGATAACCTCTGAGAGCCGTCAAGAAGTATCTGCTTTTCTATCCCCTGTAACCAGATTAACTTCTCTTTGTTTCTGGATGTAAATTCATAATTATGCTTTATCGTTGTGATGCACAATATCTGCCATCTGCCTTTCAATTCTCTATTAATTCTACTAAATAATATCAATATTTAAAAAATATCTTCGCTTGAATATTTGATTAAAATGATGGTAGAAGCAAAATGCATTTACATTCTTAACTCTGCAGTAAAAATCCGAAAAGCCTTGCTGCCTGCAAGCATATAGTAAAGGCATTATTTATCTTTTGGAATGATAAGAAAATGCTACGCCTGTCAAGATGTATACTGCACATTCCAATCTTTGTAGCCTGATGTTTTACTTCTGGAACGTAAGTAAGAAAAATGCATTTAAATATGTTAATGTTTCACCGTGGATTTTAAAAGCCTTCTTTGGTTTAAATTAGACAAAAAACAGCATTTCATTTGGAAATTTTAAAAAGTACTATGGCATTTTGCTAGAACTTCCGTTGGCTGACATTTCCATATATCGATTTCTAACCCATCAGATAACGTCATACTATTCGTCTACAGAAAATTACAAATACATGGAATTTCGATGTACAGTTATTTAATTCTCGATATGAAGCTTAGTAGAAGCGATGGTTACATCTTTTTGTACCTTTGCTTATTTTTTTCTGTAACAGCTATAAAAAAGTAATATATTTAAAGCAATGGAATGTCTGTATTTTACTCATTGAATTTGCAACATCATTTTATATTACGGTACTCTATTATAGAATTATTAAACTTGGAGAGACACTATTGCACAATTATAGCATTATTAAACTTATACAGTGTGCTACCGTTACGCCACAAAGGCATGCTGGAGTGATAGTGAAAATACCCAATATACTTCTCCTTTTAAAGGGCGAGTGGAGATTTTCTAACCCAGTTGCCAAATCCTGGTGTTAACGAAGTATTGTTCACCGCATTTCAGTTTGGGGCGCACTATTAGATGGTCATTAAATTAGGCTATTCTGAAGCAAGAAACGTGAAAAATGTACAATATCTCTGTGGAGACTCGACCTGGACATCTCGAATACTCGCCGAGTGTGCTACCGTTACACTACGAAGGAATGCTGGAAGGAGGATGAAAGTACCCTATAAGCTACTGCATTCTTATCCACACTTGGTATTCAGCATTATTTAATACATTGTAGAGACATTAGGTATTTTTTTTGGAGGCCAGACAGATGAAAAATTAGCAACCTCCTTCGCCGGGAATCGAAACACGGACCTCTAGAATACCGGCCCAGCGTGCAGAACCACTACACCACGAAGGCACGCTAGGAAGGCGAGAGAAATACCTTATAACATAACAACATTAACAACAGGCGAGAAGATATCCAATTCTGAGAACTGCTGGGAAACCGTGAAACTAATGTATATTTAGCTATGGAAACGTTGCAGTACATTAATAAATATTGTGGTAAATATTAGTTCTTAGTATTGTATCTAATTTTACTCAATAACATATTTTATACTTCTTTTAATAACATAGTGCAATGCAAAAAAGATTTCTAGCGTTACATATTTTGGAAATATTCCTCTGATGCAAGTTCTAATGAACCTCTAATGAAGTTCAAATTTTGGACTTTTATTTCACAATTCCTGCATAAAGATGTATTGAACAGATTGAATATTTTTTGATTAATAATGATTTCCAACCTTTTCATTGAATTAGTCGCATATTTGCTTGAGAGAAATCTTAGAATCAGGTGAAGAGCCAAGCCTACTTCTTGATAATGATGAAATTGTCACACTCGTACATAGACCGAAAGAAACATAATAGAACACCATAATTTAAATTAGGTAAAACTATTTTAAAAGAGCATAATTAATTATAATTTATTTGGTAATAAATTTTCTATTCTTAATTTAACTTCTCTAAGTAAATATACTCATAATGATTATATATTTGTTTATTTAATTGTGTCAAAGTTCTTGAAAGCTATCTGCCTAAGTGAAAGGATGCCTTCGTGGAGGACTTTCTAAAGGAAACTGGCTAGTACACACGTTACACATGGGGAAAACCGCGAACTCCCATGTAGCCACTCCATTCGCCGGGATTCGAACACCAGATCCAAGCACCAGTGTTCAGCGATCTTATCTTTCGGCCTCTGGGTGATCATGTTTGCGTTATGGATTAGAATACTAAACTCATCAAAAGTATCATTTCGTTACAAAATTAGCTAAAATACTCAGCTGCTAAAAATAATTTTCGTTATAGCCAAAACGCATTGCAGTGTCCTTCTGTACAACGCAATGGAGTCGTTGTAACGAACGTGAACTATAAAAACATTATTATAGCTTTAAAAAACAACAGCCAGTAAAGCTATACCTGAGTATATACATAATGATGAATATAAGTCTAATAACTGATTTACTTTACTATGAAATTTTAATATTTGTTTACTTAGAGTATATAATAAAAAAAGGTTTTTTTTTTTTAAATCCATAGAGTATGCCCTTCATCCTTGAAAGTATGATACTCAAGAAATATCTTTGCAGCAATTTTATAATCCCTCTAAATAATTTCTTAAAAAAATTCGAATTTTTAACTACATTGAGATATTAAATTCAGTATAAAAAATTATAGGTCGTTTATTGATGTCTTCACGTCAGCAATGAAATAAAAAATATCCAGTTGAAAAAATGTTTCTCCTGTTTACAAGTTGGCATTTATACTTTAATTTTACCATTCTTAAATGCTATCATGACCTGATTCAGGTAAATTTTAATTAAAAAAAAAGACTTAGTTTTAATACTTCTTCACGCTTTTGTAAACATGAACGTTCCATTAAATTTTAGCTAGTGTGTAAATATTTTACATTTGCGGTATCGAAAATAAGGATTTAACGGCAAAATATAAAATGAGAAATAAACAAAATACGTGGTATCTGTGTTCGAAAAATTGAGTATGGCTTTTAACGTCAAGTAAAAAAAAGATTTAGCACTTTTTTTAAAACGTTTTTGTGTATTTTTCTAAAAAAATTAAAAAAAAAAAAAAACTGTGCCTTTAAATGTGCCCAATTGACAGTATCATTCAGTTTCTGTTTTTCATGTAAAACTTAAAAACAGAAAGTAAAACTTTCCTAAAAATTGTATCTTTTCAGGTTTCTTACCAGCGGTAGATCAATCATCTCGAGGTAATTACGGGATCATGGATCAAGTTGCCGCTCTGCACTGGATTCAGGAGAATGTGGCAGAATTTGGGGGTGATCCTAAAAATGTCACGGTGTTTGGTCACGGTCATGGAGCTGCTTGCGTCAATTTGCTGATGTTAACCCCTCTCACTAAAGGTACGTTTAATTCTTTGATTTTAATACGGATTGAATATAAATAATGCAAATGAAATGATTTGCCCTTAAATGTGAACCCTTTGTGACATTACTAAACGTTATCGAGCTCAAAAGCTGAATGCACAGTTGTTCTTTATTGTTGGCAATTTATTTCCTGCGTAGAATAACCAACATAAATAATTTTAAAACTAAATAAGGTTGAATTAAAATGATTTCTTGATTAGATGAAGTTACAAAATTGAGTTAACTTTGTAATTTTAATCTGTAATTTGCATACACTAGAAAAAACGGCACCTATACCAATAACAGTGAGTAAGCGTTGTTATTACTTTAAACGAATTCGGGTATGTGGTTACAGAAACGCTTAACGCTACTAAGAGTAATTTAGGAACTTGAGGCTGCAATTTGATAAATTAAAATAAATCATTTTTATTTCTAGGGTTTGGAAATTGACCTAAGTCCACTGAGAGGCAAGTGCAAGCACAAATGTAACCATGGCTCTTTCACACAATAGTCGTTAATACCCTGTCGCATCACTAAATGAATGAAAGCCCACTGTGCTTTCCTATATAGAAATAGTGTAGTTATGATACTTAAGAAGGATAAGCTGGAAAAGAAGGATAAAAGTATCAAAATCAAAGGGCAAAAAAGCTATAAAAAATCTGAAAGTTTTCAGATTTTACATTACGCCCAAAAGGACGTTTATTTAACCTTTTGTGTGTTGTTACCTTTATTTATTAAGTATTCTTTGCACTTACCTATAAAACTCAATTCAACAGCAATATCGCAAAATAATTTTAAAATGAGTATATCTTCAGAATTTCCGATACACAGTCACGCGCGTTGGAGATAGAAATGTTTTTTTTTTTTTTTTTTTTCGTAAAGTTTTGCCATTGCTCGCTTTGAAATCGTTGAGTTTGTTAATCAAAAATTCTTTAATGTCTAATAAAATATGAAATAGATCATAAAATAAATTTCGAATTCCAAATTAGGGCTTCCAGATGCCCATATTCGGTAAAAGATTACATAGTTCAAAATTTGATGGCTCCAGGTATCCTTGTTTCAGCACAATGCGAGAAACATACAAATATTTATGCAGATTCTTCATTATTTAATTCCCTTAAATATAATACAGGGCTCTAATATTTGGTGGCAAGAATTTGAAAAGTGAAGAGACATTTATACAGGATGCGGCAGAGTTCACAGTAGAATATTAAAAACACAGCATAAGGCTGTAACTGTAATTTATTTATTAACTCTTATGTCAATTAATAGTTAAGGTATGCCATTTACTAATGTGTAAGTCATTGTCCATTGCGTGGATTACTTTTTGAATATGATTCCTGTCAAATGGTGCCCCCTATGCACAACACATTCATCTAGGCGGCGTTGGAAGCTTGCAATAACTCAGTGTAATGTATTCCTGGGACATTGACGACGGCAGTTCTGATGCTATCTTTCAACTTAGGAATGGTGGCACAACGTGTTCGGAAAACGTATTGCCTCAGGTAGCCCCAATGGAAAACGTCTGCATATGAAAGATCAGGAAAGCGAGGCGGCTTGGAAATGTCACCAAAACAGGAAATTACTCTACCTGGAAATATCTGTCGCAATGGTCCGTCCATCTGGAACTTTCCCATGACGTCCCAAGTAGAAATGTTGCCGACATAGACGCTGGGTAGCAATAGCAGAGTAGTTATTCTTGAAATAACTTTCAACAGCAAAGGCACGATGCTGTGCACTCTACCGATCCATATCACTGTCACACTCGAAATGGCAAATCCATATCTCAGTACACGAATGTGGCACGAACTGGCGCGCATTCATGCAGTACGTCATTGTACTACGCAAGTCAAATTACGCTATGAACGCTGCCGCACCCTGTAGTAAATCAACGCAAAATGCCAAAACGAAATTAATAGCTTTTTGGGCTATAAAAGTGGTTAGTGGTTAGCTATTTATTAAATACTCGAAGTGTAATAAAATAATAATTTCCTTAAGAATGCTTCAAAATAAAGGGAAATATTCTACGATTCTTCCCATTTTTACGTGCTCTATAATTTGGTTTGGTTTATGTGGTTATGGCAAAGCCTCGAGGGCTATCTGCCTAAAAGGGGGGTGCCTTCGCGGAGACGTTTTAAGGGAAACTGGTTCGTATACATGTTACACATGCGAAAAACCACAAAAACGTCTATGCAGCCTGCCCGTTCGCGGGATTCTAACCTCGGACCGAGCTACCAGTGTTTTTACCGCTCAGCCGCTGGTGAGCTAGTTCTCTAATTTGATAAATTGCGAAAGATTTAAAATGTTTTCCAGTTCTTTTTCTTTTGTGATTCTGTATTCTACAAAGCAAAGAAATAGGAATTCGGAATTGTAAAATATTCGTTCTACAAGTGGCTGGATATCTTTCTTCATTTACGCAATCGTAGAAATATGGATTTTTTTCACGTTGAAGGTTGTAGGTCATTTAGTTCAGATTTAATTTTTGTTTTACTTCTGTATATTATTTTGAATAAGTGCTATCATTCAAGATTGCATTTATTTTAACCTTTAAATCTTTTTAGGTATGCTCATAAATAATTTATTTTTGATTATATTTTAAGTTATCTGTTGCTAAATATTTCATTCATGTTTTAATAACATTATCTGTTACTTCATTTTCTAAGCAAATCGTGTTAAAACTATATGCTTCGCATATATCCATAGTGCATACCTACGTCAATTCTGAAATAGGCAAAATTTTCAAATGACAGAAGAACACATAATTAAACCCGTATTTTTAAATGACGTGATCCGCATTTAACATTAAGTAAATGCGACATAAATTGCGTAATTATTCGTCTCTTTATATAGGGTACCTAGTTATAATAGTATATATCGTGTGTACTATAGCTATGCCTAATCTCAATTGTGACTAACAGGAGCTAACTTAAAATATGAAATTAAAATAATTTAAATTTGAAGTGAAGATTCATTAGCGTACAACAATAGTTTGTGATAATTGAAGCTTTATAGAGAAATGTATATTTATGTTTGAAAAGCGAAATTTTCCTTTGAGCATTTGTTTTACATTCAGACACCAACAGATGAAAAAATAATTACCTTGGGTAAAATATGTGGATTGTATAATAGAGATAATGTTTGCGTGCGTGTTAAAATTACTAGTAGATACAGAGGTAAAGTATAAAAGAAATACAATTAAAACAGTCTGTAAACCTGTTCTTAACCACATATTGAATGTAGAGCTCGTCATTCAAAAATAAGAATAAAAGTGTTGTAAAATATATGTTGTGTTCTGATGTTTGTGATGTTGACCTGGGCTGAACAAAAGTAGAATAAGAGGATTTAAACTAAATGCACTCCCAAAATAGAACGGAAAACATTATTCTAATACCTTGAAAATTCGATACTCATGACAACTGATTATCTTTATATCAGTATAATGAAATAACATATATGCTTGTCCAACAACAATACAATTTACAAATGATGAGGGCTCGTTGATATGGTTCATTCAATGGATGATTGATTTAACGTACCCATTAGCTCAATTAATTGAAGAGTGTACTCATTTTCTGTTACGAGATAACCTTAGTATGCTTTGCTATAATCCAATAAATTCTATCCAGTTTACTAAGATAAAATCAGAAATGCTATTACGCTGAAGTGATATAAATAAAGCAAATATTGTAATAAAATTTTAAGTCTTTAACGATGTAACAATGAGAGATTTAAATTATGGATATATGTTCTGAAGAATTTAATGGATCCATCAAAATTCTTTAAATTTTTAAAACAGATATTTTAAGTGAAATTATTTCTTGCAATAAGTTTTGTAAATGTTTGATGGCAGTGAATAGAGTAGGATTGCTAAAAGAAGCTTTATATGCATAAACTTTCACTGTTTGTGTTAGATGAGATTATATGAGATTTTAGTTCAGAATTAAAAAAAAACCTTAACCTGTGTTCGGTTGATGAATTTTGATGTCTCTTAATATTAATTGGCCCAACAGCGGCCGAGCGGTAAAGACGCTGAACACTGGTAGTTCGGTCTGAGGTTCGAATCCTGCGAACGGGCTGGCTGCATGGGCGTTTTCGTGGTTTTCCCCATGTGTAACGTGTATACGAGCCAGTTTCCCTTAGAAAGTCCTCCACGAAAGGCATCCCTCCCTTTAGGCAGATAGCCCTCGTGTGCTTTGCCATAATTAAATACACCACCACTTAATATTAATTAATTTAGAATCCTAAAGGTATTTTTCCAATCAAAATTATTGCATTGGAGAATTAATCGTTTTGTTACTATTGGGTTCGTATTAAGTTTACTTGTTTGCTTAAATTTCGTTACATCTGATGTTTTCGAACTAGCGTACAGAGGAACTCCTGAAGTTACTTTTAACCCTTAAAAAAAAAAAACATTAAAAACTAAATTTGAATAATAGTGCCATATTTAATGATTGGGTAAATTTGGGTAATTTGTAAACTTAACAATGAAAAAGGTTCTTTTTGGATAAATATATTTTTTTCATCGGTGACTAGGCAATTCAATCAGGTTCAATAAATGTAGCTTTAATATTCTGCAATAATCGTTAAGTATAAAATAAAGCATCTTTTATGAATTTGATTATATGTCCAATTATTTTTCGATAAATTTATTCTCGACGACTGTTAATTTTTTTGGAGCACGGGCTATTTGGAGCTTATATTGTAATAACATTGCAAAATTTTCACAAATTGACACACGCTCAAGGTGTGCATGGAAAAACAAATCGACTCAAGAAGTGGTACTTTAAAGCGTACAGGAAAACTCGGGATACAGACCAACGCTTTGTTAACAAGTACCCTTAGCTAACATTCAAAGAATTTACGGAGTTTCCCAAACGAGCTACAGATTAAGAGATAGAAACGGACGTAAAACAAAAGCTAAGTGCAGAAAGCTTAGCTGAAGAAAAAAAAAAAAAAAGTTAGTAAAAAACTTAATTACCAAAACAAAACCTAGGCTG